AAGCTTTAATTTGACTCCTCCGTCCTCCTTTTCTTTCCTTGCAGCCTTCCCTCGTATCCTACAGGGGGCGGAGCTGAGTAGAGATGTGAAGAAATGAATAAGAAATGAGAAGCACCCCATGAGTTTCAACACCACCACCACCCCGTCCCTTTATTTTGCGTATGCCTTGAGCGGGAATTATTTAAATGAAGAAAATTATGAGGTGTTCGTTCATGGAAGAAAACTCAATAGAGGCATTTCAGGGAGTTCAGAAACAGTGACACTGATATAGAGGAAAAACTCCCGCTGGAGTGACTTTGTAACTTTCCAGACCTTTCCCGACCAAAACACATTCATGGCTTTCATCTAATTCAGATATATTTGAGCTTTATTTCAATTACTGAAAAAAAATTATTTTTATTTTATGAATGTATTTATTCAATGTATCCCCCAGAGTTGGATAAGTCCATACATACCCTTTTCATCTCCGTGTGTGCTGTAACTGTTTGATGCACCCACCACTAGCCTAGCTTAGCACAAAGACTGGATGTAAATGGCTACAGCTAGCATACCAATCCGAATAAGTGACAAAATAACGCAAACATTTTCCTATTTACATGTTGTGATTTGTATAGTCACAGAGTGTACAAATCACAAGGTCATATGTGACACAGCCATCTTTTAACCATAAATATTAGGAACTATATTCTCAAAAGGTAGCACTGCTACTTGAGTGATAATCGCAGCACCTGAGATGCACCGTAGCAGTGCTTCGCCTTCTGAGAATATAGTTCCCAATATTTAGACGGTTAAAATATGTCTGTGTCTCATATGACCTTGTTATTTGTACACTCTGTGACTATACAAACCACAACATGTAAATAGGAAAATTGCGTTATTTTGTCTCTTATTGGAATATGCTAGCTGTAGCCATTTACATCCAGTCTTTATGCTAAGCTAGGCTAGCGGTGGGTGCGTCAGATATAGAGTTACAGTACAGCATGCATGGAGAAGAAAAAGGTATATACAGTATGGACTTTTCTAACTCTGGGGGATACATTAAGCTAAAGTCCAAAAAAGTCGGAGTGTTCCTTTAACAATAACAACACTGGTACTGTGTCTTAATATTCGCATGTCTTAATACAAACTCACACGTGTGTAGTATTGCCAATGAGGTCCATACTTTTAGCATTTAGTAGAATTTGCAAGTTGGTGATCCACCCATCTAATTTTAGGGCCATTGACTGTGAAAAGCCTGGGCTTATAACCTAATTATACTTGTCAAAGCATGTCTATGTTTTTAGCGTATATTATTCTGTTAAATCACTGTCTCGTCAAAATCTAGATTTAAGTGTTCAAAAAGAAATCATATTTGGCTTGCCGTATATGATGTGAAACTTTGTTTTCGTGCATTGATTTTAATGTCGTGGCATATTGTTTTCATTTGAAATTTGTGACCGTCATGTGACATGTAGCCTGTTTGATATTTGAGTCAAATGTTGTGTGATATTTAAATGCTCAACCTCAGCAGAACAGACTGGTTTCTCTGAGAAAGGAGCGAACGCTGGGCTGGATGTGGGTGGCACAATCATACTAAGGGGAATGCGTGGGTCCAGGGCTTATTTCAGGATCTGATCAGCACGGCAGAGGAGCACGGATTTAATGAGCGACACTTTTACTAACCGCCATTATAGAAGGGACAGATTATCACAGGCTATCAAAGTGATGTTGAACACAGTCGTACATCATTATTACGGGGCTGAGGCCTACAGCAAACATCCATCAGGCAGTGTGAGAGGTCAATGGGAAGAGGAAACACACTAATGATGCTGACTGAACCTGTCCTGCTGCGGTTCCATCACATACCGTTTTCTTTTGTACCTTTACATCTGAAGAGAAATGAATCACACATCATGAATACAGTGCTCAGATATCAGGAAAATAAAACACAACTAATAATGGCCTCACCATTTCTCTTCTTAATGGAGAACTCTGGGCAATTTTTAAGTTAATCTTGATCGTTCTACCTTTGTGAGAGCTTGCCGTCTAAAACGCTAGGTTAAAGTAGCTAAATGCATTTTGTTCACATGTAAGGCCCCTGTCCATGTTGGATAGATATTTTAATTGCATTTTGTGTCTGTTAATAGACATAAAAAACGCTCTTTATGATTACGCCCCTTACACGTTGTGTTGTGACCCTTACACGTTTTGTCTAGCAAGATAATCTTTACAACTTAATCCAAAATGTATACATTTTGAAGCCTATATAAAGATTTTAAAAAACACAATCAGACACAATAAAGTTTAACAAGCAGGTTATAAATGTGTGTTTTATGTCATAGATCAAAACGTGAAAATATTTAGAGGCTTTGTTCACCACAGACCTTATTTCAGGCGATTTAGCAAAAACCCATTCAAAAATCCCATAGGCTTTAGAGCGAGGGAACCGTAGTGCTAAAATGCTAACTCACTTCCGCGTTTTGGCCTACAGAGTGACGTCGTATTTTCGTAACTTCATTATAACGTAATAACGAGGAGATTCAAGATCAGCGCGTTTGAGTTGCAGAGAAGAGAAAGATAGCCAAAGCTCGGTTTACACCGATATAAAATTCTAGACACGAGGGGACCAAATACAGGCTATAGGGGAACTAATATTAATGTTAAAAAAAAAAAGCTCAGAAAGTGAAAATTTCATGTCAGGGGACTTTTAACTCAACAAAGACTACACATCTTTATCAAGCAGTGTTTTTAAAATGCAGATTAATTTATAGACTTTCTCTTACACAGTCACAATAAACACATAATTATAAAATCATATATACCGTAGCCTACATACATTAAACACTTCATGATTAGGCTAATTCATACAGTATGCAGACACACAAACAGCAATTTTACATAACCACTCTCACAGCTGCAAACACTTTTCCTAACATAACATGAGTAGTGTTCTATAAATATCATATGTAAAGGCGTCAGATCATTAAATAAAATACGACTTTCATCCACAGCATTGATGCTGGGAAACTGACAGGTGCAAACACAAAGCCGCAGAGAGGCCTGACAATGATGAATCTCAACCGGCTGCCGTCAGCCATCAGAACCAGGAAAGCATCTCTCATTTGATTTCTTACTGAAGCAATATTCAGAGGGACCTACTCACTATGAGTGGGCTGTTATGTTGCCATGGTAATGATTTTCTTCCCACTTCGTCCCACTACATAATAAATTGTGTTTAGGTTGACACCTTGTGGAAAACAGGAGGATCTACATTCAATCAACAGCCATAGGAAACAAAGTGTTATCAATGTAAAAAAAAGATCTTGTTATGATTAGTAACTACAACATTTTTTTCTTTTGTTAAATCAACTTAAATAATTTATTTAGTTCAGATAACATATAATTTTGAGTTTCTGATGATTAAATCATTCTCCATTGTATTAACTCACTTTTCCCATTTCAATGAACTTAAAATTTTAAGGCAACCAGGTTACTTACTTTTTCAAGGTTTAATAGGTCATAGATCAAGATCTAAAACCAGATTGAATTTGTGATCTACTCATATTTATTTTTATTTTTTTTAACCAAACCATTTTCCAGATTTGATCTAACCCGATCAGATTACTTTTGAACAACTGGATCCAGGAGATTCAGGTAAGACCTGAGCCAAAGCCTGTTACTATAGCAACAGACTGACAGACGTGTTTTGATGGAGACCCCGTGTGGTAAACTTGAGTAATGACAAAGATCTAAGTATCATCATTTCAGTAGCCTAATGACAGGTGTCTTTCATTACAACTTGGGGCTCTTTAAAAAAGGAAGATTTGGTAATGTAAATTATTTATATGAAGCAATGGTAAATGGCAAATTGTCTTTCTTTATTAGACTCACAGCACAGGTCATTGTGTTGTTTGTCCCTCATATTTTAGTTTCACTGGTTTAATGTTCAAAACGTTTAAGATGTTTTAATTGGTCAGCGATGGTTTATAAACTTACCAAGCCAATTTTACTTCCGGTCGATGCTTGCAACCAATCAGCTAATAAACGTTAATGTCTTTTTAAAAAGTGTCAAATTGCAGAAGCAAGTCAATGGAAAGTGCCTATACCCACCATTATAGAAAAGAAAATGCATTTGCTAGTTATTTGAACCTTGTGCAAGACTTCAACTGAACTGAATGATCGGAACTTCCTTTTCTCTCACGGAAACTGAGTAATATTCTTATTGTGACCACAGATGCGTGTCAACAGGGCTCTGCGGTTAGAATGAGAAGTGATCGTGTGTCTGAAGCTTCATCCACATTTTTCTGTTAGGATTGGGCTCTTCTTGACTTTAGAGAAACGATAGTGATCTTAGGACTTATGTTATGATGCTGTTCCCTCACTGATGAATTTATTATGTTATAATTTATTATTATTAATCTGAATCTGATTATAACTCACGATGAGAGGTATATTTATTATATGTGTGCATTATACCAAGGCCTGTCAAAATTCTCGATTCTGATTCACGATGCGTCATCAATCCGGAAGTCGGCCGTTTTGGACTGGAGGCACAGAACATAAACAATGGCATTGAACTGAACGGACTCCCAAATTTGGCTAATTATTTCTGCTGAAAAATGGTCGAGTTTTGGTCTGTACTAATCGGTCGCATCGGGAAAATAGCTTTCAAGTTCTATAGATAGACTGCCAAAAGTTAAAGAGAAGAGAGTGCAAACTGCAAAGAATGATGTAAGAAGGCGTTTGTGGTTGAGAGAGGCACAGCATCCGCTCATCAGTCAAATGTGTAAATTTGACTATGGCTAAAATGTTAACGTATTAAATATGGCTACATTCTCTGACTCTCTCCAAATCTGATTGGAATTTGATCTAAAATGATGTCCACACTCAAGGAAGAATTGAGTCATTCCAACTTAAATTACATTTAACTAACTTGATTGAGTTGAATTTTGTATAACTTATAAAGAAAAGTTGAAATTGCTTAAATTATTTGGTAAAGTAAATTATCTATATGGCAATGGTAACTGGCAAATGGTATGTCTTTCTTTATTTGACTCACAGCAGGTCATTGTGTTATTTATATTTAACATGTAAATCACCTTTATAGTTTCACTGTCTTTTGTTAGACGTAGGCTGTGTCTATTTCAGTGCACCATCATCTGCTTCCTCCCATAATGAGAAAACTTCCTCTTTTCTCAGTGAAGTGGTCAGAGATATTTCCTCCCGACCCTTAACCTACTCATCACGTGGGTTTAGACAAATCACACAAATTCGTACGAGTGAGGTCGTGAGATAGCATTGAAGAGTGAGTCTCTCTGTGAGGAGCTTCATGAGGGCCAGAACACACACCGACTGAAGTCACACACTCATGTCAGCGTCTGAAGCTTCATCCACACTCTTCTGCTGCCGTTGGGCTCTTCTGGAAACTGGACTTTAGAGAAATGATGCTGATCTTTGGACTGATGCTGCTGCAAACTGCTGCATGTGAGTCAACTTTATGATGCTGTTCAATATCGAGACCTCTCTGAAATTAAAACACTGTAATATTACATTAGGAGTGTTTCCAAAACAGCCTGCAGTGATCTAGTCTTATAGCCAGTTTCACAGACCATGTTAAGTCTAAGTCCCAGACTAAAATGCTAGTTTGAGCTGTTTTAACTGAAAGCAATGCACATATGGCCTTTTTTTGTCTCAACATGAGGCTTGTTTATTAAAGCTATATACTTTTTTTTAACTAAATCCTAATCCTGGCGTAATCTAAATCTCGTCTGTGAACCAGGCCTTAGTGTTTTCTGGTCTAAACAGTGTGTAGTGGAGTATGATATGTCAAAAGGAAGTGTGTGAGTAACATTAACAGCACAGTCTGTGTTATTCGGCCATACCAGAAAATACAAATAGCATCCACTGATTGATTAAAACCTAAAATATTTACAGTTGCTTGAGCACAATTTTGAAAACAGGGCCTGGTTTGTAAAAACACTACACAGCATTAGCACAACCCTACACTAAAGTAGCACCACACTTTTGTCAAAACTATACATGACTTCATAAAAACAATATTTTGTAACCATACAAAAGAGACACATTTCATATGACTTCAATCTTTTTGATTGAACTCATATGATAATTGGCTCATATGTGTGGGAATTTGACAGAAATTGCAAAGAAGTGACATCATGATATACTTCTGTGTCTGATGTATTCAAGTGTGTTTAGTGTTTTGTAAATCACTGTGTATTTTTGTGCAAATAGTTTGAAACTGACAATTGCTTAGTTGTGCAAAACTAGCCTTGTGTTTTGCTCCTTGAGTGCAAGCTTTTGCTAATTGTGGGAATTGTGTAATTTTAGTGTGAAAGCAATCGTAAACTGTTACACTGTTTTAGTTTGAAAACTAACCTAATGTTTATTTTAGAAAGTTTACAGTATAATCACTGTAAAAAAAATGTTCATTTAACTTACATTTTTTTAGTATTTTTTTTCCTTTGACTCAGTTCAATTTTATTTACTCAATAAAGTTGAGTATTTTCAAATTAAAATTATTTTCAACTTAAAAAGTGAAGTTGACACTTAAAATAGTTGACCCAACAACTTATTTCAAATAACATAGACTTGCAAAGTTTATTTGTAAGATGATAAGTTACATTTTCAAGTTAGCTGAACTAAAATGTATGTTCATTAAACTTAATTTGGCATTTTCTCTCAACTTGCACATTCAACAAAATAAATAACAGATTTTCCATACAAACGATTTTATTGTTCCTTACAAATGAAGAATTCTTGTTTTCACACCATTTCACATTTCTGCATGCTTCACTTACATTTCTCTCTTCGCTCTCTCTTTCCTCTCCCTGTCTAACTTCCTCTTTTCACACATTTGCTGTAAATCCACCCTTTTCTTCTCTCTTTCCCTAATGTTCAGTTTCATACAGATTCATGTCTGTGTCTTTGTTCTCAAAGCTGTAACAATAAATGTTGCTCCATTAAATGCTCCAGAATGAATGTGTGTCATGCTGATGATAAATCCGATATGCTCGACATCTTTCTCTGTTGACGGCGAATCAGAAGTGATTCTGATTGTTTGCAAGCAATTGAATTGATATATTGTTAATATTTTAAATTGTATTTTAGTAAATGTTCCTGATTGTTTTTAGACCTGAATGCTCATGAGCAAAGATGAAGCAACTCAAATCACTCAGTTCCTGCAGAACATCTGCCACTGAGATGAACATAAACTAATGCGTGAGTGAATGAAGGGACAACTTCAGGTGTTGAAGACCTACATGTTCAACATGGGACAGAAGACTGCACTTAAACAATTTCATGTGTTTGATTGTGGATGAGTTTAGGAACATTATATGAGAGCTGAGATCAGATCAAGAGTCTGTCAGATACGCGTCTCCCGTTGAACTCCAATTCTGTGACTGTTTGTGAAATGTGTCTGATTGTAATTTATGATAACAGATCTTTATTAACGTGTGTGTGTGTGTGTGTGTGTGTGTGTGTGTGTTGTTCTTCAGGTGTGGAGTTTACCTGCAGGTTTGGTCAGCCGGATCCCTGTTACGCTGCTCTGGGACACAAACTCAATCTGCAGATGCTGGATGATAGAATATATAAACTGAAGATAATAAAGAGAATAAACAACAACCAAGATGATTCATTTTGTAAAGTAAAGAATGACACTAAAAGTAAGGCCGAATGTGATCTTTATAATAACAGACCTGAAGTGACATTCATTAATGGGACTCTGATAATAAACCGTGTGATCAGAGCAGATTCAGGGAATTACACTTTACACATCGATCACTCAGACGGCACAGTAACATCTGCAGATCTTCAAGTGAAAGTTGAAGGTACAGTAACTCTCATCAGACTCATCACAATCTCATGATCTCCAATGATCTCACTCTCATGCAGACGAATCAGTGCAATCTCTGTGAAGGTTTTTCTGGAAGAATTTCATCAAAAGCAACTGCACTTTGTTTTCTATTTTTTTAGATATTTTATTTGCCACATATTTATTTATTTAAAAAACAATCCATGTGTGTTTGAATGTGTCTGTTTGTCATGTGACTGTCATGTGTCCCGCCCTCCAGCTCCTATTGGCTCAGTGGAAGTGTCACTCACCTGCTCCTCCAGTGGGGGGAAGTCCGTGTCCTGCTCTTCTGACGGGGATTCGCTCGTCTACAGCTGGACTCTGAATGGAGATCCACTGACGGATACAAACACCAACATTCATCTGAATGAGACGACTGAAGGAGTCGTCATCTGTAGTGTGAAGAACCACGTCAGTGACGGACATAAGGGCATTAGTCTCGACTGTTCTGGTGAGCTTTTCATTAATAAATATCCATGTGTTTACTAAACTACAGCAACAAGAGTGATGCAAAACACTGAGTTATCTTCAATGGACACAGTTCATTCTTGCAAAGTTTCTGGCTGAAAATGAGTTTATTTCATCCGATCTCAGCAGTAATGGGCTTTATGCACAGCTGCACTACTTCCTTTTTTTGTGATCAATTTTTTATTGAATCAGAGAATATTTGGTACAGAAACAAAGGTAGACATAAACAACATTTTGAACACATTCTCTCTTTTCACCCCCCCTCCCCCCATATTCCCAAGGCGACCAAGTCCCCCCTCCCCCCATCTCCTTATAATGCATTCAGAGCAATTACACTTTAAGAGCAGCACAGATCACATTTCAGATACAATAGATCAAAAATAAAAATATGAGATATAAATCTTAAAGACGTTCCTTAATTTTTGAAATGACACTTGACCATGACAAAATAGTCTTATGAGAAGCTCCATGTAATCTTGCCACTGACAGCTCCATGTTCGCAATGTCCAAGAAAGAATGCATCCAGTGAGTCCACGCTAGAGAATGTGGGGGTTTCCAGCGTAAGGCAAGCATTTTCTTAGCAGCAGTAAGTCCACAAAAAAGTGACTTTTTCTGAGTTAAAGAGAGAGTATAAGAGGAGTCATCATTTAAAAGCAAGAGTCTCGGACAGCATGATAACTCCAACTCCAAAATGTCTTTCAACGTACTGGAAACCTGTCTCCAAAACTCACTGACTTCCGGGCATTCCCAAAACATGTGCATATAAGTCCCAGTACATCCACTAGAGCACAGATCACATTTAGGTGAGGTGGAAAGCTTCATTAAATGACGCTTCCTGGGAGTGAGATACAACCTGTGGATCATCTTGAAATGAATCAATTGATGATTAGGGTTTTTAGAAACATGTTTGAGGTTAGCCCATATTGAGTCCCAACATATTTCAATATTGTTCTCTGAATCAGTCCCATAGATATCTCTGTGCCAAATGTCCACCACCGGTAATCTTTTATAAGAAGCTTCCAACAACAAAAGATACAATGACGAAACCGCCCCCCTTGTGTTCCCAGATGAAGTAAGCGACTTATGAAGAGTAAGACTGGGCATACTACAACCCCAAGGAACCCCATATGCGCGCATGGCAGATCTCAGACGCAGATAAAAAAAAAATGAAGTGCCGGGTAAATTATATTCCGCATGTAGGTCATTAAACATGCGTAAACCGCTGTCCCCCCAAACATCAGCCAGAACATGAATCCCTCTATCACTCCAGTCTGGGAAAACAAAAGGCTTATTGTCTGATAAAAGACTGTGATTACAAAATAATGGCGAATGAGAATGCCATTTATGGTTATCACTGAAAAGCTTTGAGGCCACCCGCCAGGTAGAAAGAAGATAAGCTATTATTGGACCAAAATTCTGCTTTGCACTCTTTAACGGAATGTTGCTATAAATCAAATCCTGTAGTCTATAAGGTAGAGCTAGATTAAGTTCAATTGGTTGCCAAGACACAACAGAGCCAGGATTCAACCAAACTTTAAGAGGACGCAATGTAAAAGCCCAATGATAAAGCCTAAAGTCCGGTAATGCAAGTCCACCGGCCTCCTTGCAACGCTGCAGCGTCAAATACTTTATACGGGGGGGACTTGCCGTTCCATATGAATTTGGAGACCAATTTTTGCAATTTAGACCAATAATCTAAAGGTGGTGGCAGAGGTATCATAGCAGAAAAAAAATTTATGCGAGGCAAAACATCCATTTTAATGACGGAAATTCGAGCTTGTAAAGATAGCGGAAGTGATGACCAACGAGTCAGGTCCATCTCTACACGACTGTATATACCTTGGAAATTTTTCAGAGCTGTTGTGTGTAGAGATGGGAATGTGTCCACACCCAAATATCTAAAATTGGTTACTATCGGTATAGAAGAAGGTAAAACAGAATTAGAGGATGAACTATTTAAATGCATCAATGAAGATTTGCTCCAATTAATCTTATACCCAGAAAATTGGCTAAAATTGTTAAATACTGTCAAAATATGATAAATAGATTCAGCTGTATCACTAAAATATAAAAGAATGTCATCTGCATATAACGAAATTCTATGAGAAGTGTTACTAAACATTATAGGGCTAATCAGGGAATGCTGACGGATTTTCTGTGCAAGAGGTTCAAGAGAGAGTGCAAACAAAAGTGGAGAGAGAGGGCATCCCTGACGAGTTCCACGTAATATAGAAAACTTAGGAGAGGTGATGCCCCCTGTCATAACCACAGCGGAAGGATTGGCATATAATACTTTAATCATATCAATATAATATCTGCCTAAACCAAGACGTTCCAAAACTGACCAAAGGTAATGCCATTCGAGCCGGTCAAAGGCCTTCTCAGCATCCAAAGACAATGTTGCGCACGGTATGTCCATACCACTGGTCAAGTGGATAATATGCAATAACCGGCGAACATTATCGGCCGCAAGACGAGATTTAATGAAACCAGTCTGGTCATTATGCACCAATTTAGTCATGAATGAATCTAAACGAGAGGCCAAAACTTTGGCATATAGTTTCACATCACAGTTTAACAAAGACAATGGTCTATAATTTCCGCACTGAGTCAAATCTTTATTAGGCTTTGGTAACAGAGTAATAATGGCCATATTTGCACTATCATTAAATGTGCCCATCTGAATAGAATAAAGAATCATATTCAACAAAGGTTGTCCCAGCTCGTCCCAGAAAGAAAGATATAGTTCCGGTGGGATTCCATCCCATCCTGGAGACTTACCCCTCTTCATATGTACAAGAGCATCTTTTAATTCGTTTAATGAAATAAGCGTATCCAAAGATGCAGCCTCTGCTTCAGAGAGACACGTAAGAGTCAAATCTTGAAAAAAGTTATCACACAAAGTCTCACTGAAGACTAAATCCGGCCTATATAAGTTCTGATAGAAATCTTTAAACTCTTGATTAATACCTTTGGGTTCACTTATCAAACCACACGAAGATTGAATAGTCATAATATTTGAATATTTTTCACCATTCTTTAGTCTAAGAGCTAAAAGGTGACTTGGCTTAGCGCCATTGAAATAATAAGTTCTTCTAACTTTGTGCATTATGAACTCGGCTCTATGCCGTAACCGTGATGTAAGTTCTGAACGCATCATCTTTATTTCTTTCTGCACATCATCAGAATGACAAATTTGCTGACGGTTCTCCAGCCTATTTATTTTTGCCTCGAGAGTACCTATTTCCTTCAATCTAGATTTATTTAATTGTGAAGCGAAAGAAATAGAAAACGACCGTATGCAACCTTTAATAGCGTCCCAGAGAAAGCGGGGATCATCCACCGAACCAGTGTTTATATCTATAAACCATCTCAACTCCTTTTTGAGCATTGCACAGAAATCTTTATTTTGTAGCAGTGTGGTATTAAAGCGCCAACGAGGTGCTTTAGTAGGTGCAGACACAAGAGAAATTTTAGCTGAGACAATATTATGATCAGATAAAGGGCATGACTTTATATCAACATTGTGTACTACTGAGTGAGCAGCCTGAGATATAAGAATAATATAGTTATAATAGTTAATAACTCAATAGTAATAATAGTTATCTGGAATAACTTTTATGTCTGGCCGAGTAAAAGGTATACTGTCTCTTTGTAGGATAAAAAATACGGTATATATCAATTAGACTAAGGTCAGAAATAAATTTACATAATTCAATAGATGATAAAGATGACCCTGAATAATTCTGCACACAAGAACGATCCAGAGAGACATCAACTACTGCGTTCATATCTGCGCCGATGATAAGAAAACAATCTTGAATACTTAGTAATGTTTTAGTGACAGCAGAAAAAAATTTGGGGTCAAAATGAGAAGGAGCATAAATTGAAATAAAAGCAAAGTTCCTACCCGCAATAGCTGTTTTAATGTATGATACTCTGCCTTCTTCACAGCTATATCTTTCTAGAATATTAAATGAAAGTTTGCGTTTTAGCACGACCAGAGTACCCCTCGATTTACTATCCAATGAAGACGAAGCAGCTACAAAATAAAATTTGTTAGAAAACCTCTGAACATCTGACTTTCTTAAATGTGATTCTTGAATAAATGCCAAATCCACCTGCTGCCTATGCAAATAATCCAGGCATGCAGTACGTTTAATGGGGCCATTCAGCCCATTTACGTTCCAGGTGACTATGTGAAGCACTTCTAAAACTATTAATTAGCTATAAAATAACAAGAATCCAATAAAACAAATAACTGGGAATAGGACAATAAAAAGAATGCGTAACAGCCATATACATTGTTTAAAGGGAGAAATCCCCCCCCCCCCCGCCCGCCCCCGGTCGCCACAACCCACAAGAACACCCATTTTCCCAAACATAACAAATGAAATAAAATGAAACCGAGTGAAACTAAACCACCTTCTGAACAACGTGACCCCGAGAAAGGCGGCAGACACAATGCTCTCGCAGTCTTCAATCTCCTGTGTGGCCAAACCATTCAGAAAGTCCTCAACCTCCAGAGGGGACTTGAAAATGTGCTGAGCAGAACCTCGCGTTAACTTCAGCTGTGCGGGGTACATCAAAAACGTCTGAAAGCCCATTTTCTGAGACTTCATAGTGTCATAGTGAAAGCACTGTAATCTGCGGCAAATCTGACGTCTTTCCCATCCACCTTTATTGGAGACTTCCTAGATGCTCGGAGAATTGAATCACGATCGGTATAACGTAGCATCTTCATTATTACCGTGCGAGGTCTGCCAGAGCTGTTGGGTGGGCCGATGCGATGAACTCTCATAATCTCCGGTTTAGCATCGCTCAACGAAGGGAACCATACCGGTAGAGCACCCGAGATGTATGTCATGAGATTCATGGTTTCCACGCCCTCCGGAAGATTCAAAATACGAACATTGTCCCTGCGACTCCGGTCCTCCAAATCAGCCAACTTTTCTTCCAGGGTCGTCAATCTGGCGGCCGATTTGTCATGATTTTTCTCCATTTTGCCGACCCGGCTGTTCAGACTGGAATATCGATCACGCAGTTCTCTAACTCCATTAGAGCAAGTGGAAAGCTCCGACTGAATATTATCGAGCCTATCTTGCAACGTTTTAAACTGCGCTTCAATAAACTGTTGCTGTTTCTCCACAGCAGACGCAATCATGGTAGAAAGCGAATCCTCCATCTTTTCTACCTCATGCGCTTGATCACGCTGCGCTTGCTTGCTGGCCGATTTTCCTTGACGAGAAGACATAGTGTCGATGCCCAAAGTCAAAACATGAAACAAAAAGTCGAAAAATTAGCGAAAAACGAGAATATATTAATGAAAATGAGTAGGGTTTGCGGAGACAGAACACTACGCTGCCATCGTGCTCACAGGTCACGTGCCTCTCCCAGCTGCACTACTTCCTGAACTTCAGCCAGCTCCTTGTTTCCTGTCTGCCATTATTGGTCAAATTGATTAATTCAGGTGTGCTTGACCTCAGTAGTCATGGCAACAATAATCAGACACAGCTGAATTAATCAATTTGGCCAATAATGGCAGACAGGAAACAAGGAGCTGGCTGAAGTTCAGGAAGTAGTGCAGCTGGGCATAAAGCCAATTAGTGTTGACGTGTTTTCGGTTTTGGTAATTCTGCAGAGATGTTTTATTACAGGAACAACTACTGTAGCAGTGACCTCTCATTTGACCTCTACACTGACCAGTAGCACACAGACACCTGGAGATGGTACTAGTTTGAAAGAACACGCTACAGGAAACATGATGGATTGGTTTTGTTTCTAATTGTTGTTTTCAGTGTGTTCAGAGCCTGTGGAGTTTGTGCTGGTCTGGTGTTTTCAGATGATGTTTCTGTTTGGTCTGTTAGGAGGTTTTCACATCTACATGAGACGCACGTCAGGTGAGAGACATTTATGATCAGCTTTGAGGATTTAACATGCAAATGATAATGTGATGATAATGTGATGCTTTTAGAAAGAAAACAGGACGATCATAAACTGAGAATGAGGAGATTTAGAGAAGATCATGAACACACAGCAGAAGATTCACGAGTCCAGCAGCAGATCTCAGCACAGCTATGAGAAATCTCCTGCTTTTGCTTTCCGGTTTCTACGATGTTTTCAGGCGACGCCAACAATTGTGAAGGTTTCAGATGCCAAACCTGTCCTATAATATTTTAATATGATCCTCCTCATGTTGTAAACGTTAAAAGCACAAGGTGTAATAACTGCCTAACATATACGCTGTGTCCTCTGAACTGAAAACATGAAGTTATCTAACTAACATGTACTATATAATAGCTGTATATTACTGTGACACACTCTTCTCTGGCTGAGAACAGAATACTTTTGTGACATTAAAACAAGTATTTTCTGTAAAGCTGCTATGAAACATGTTTTGTGAAAAGTGCTAGAAAAATGAACTTGAATTTAAAGTTGTTGTTCTTGATCGTGGCGTTTTGCTATCCGTGCTTTTACACTTCTGCTTGCATTTGCAGGGTTTTTTAAAGATGTTTAACACATTTAGCCACATGCGTGTGATGAAGCAGACCTCGAGTCTACTGCGGACATGTTAACGTCCGAGAAAAATAAAGGCTCAACCCATAAATAGCTACTCTTCAGACTATGGTGTGCTTATTTACAAGTGCAGCAAAAGCCCAGCAGTGATCGCAGGTATCGGTCTCTAAAGGAGAGTAATAGGAGTTACCAGATCAGTCAGCGGGTCATAAGAGTTCCATAAAACAACATTATAACATTGAAGTCTGTTAAAAGCTGATCGCCAGGTGTACTGCGCAAACTCAAACTGTGTCTGTCACGTGAGCAACCTGTGTGTCTTCTAGTAGCTGTGCCGACTGCCGAGTGAAATCTGAATAATTCCCTTCCGAATCTCACAGAGACGAAGAGAGTGAGTATCAGCTGTCTATATGGTAATTTCTCTACTGTGCAACAGAGAGTCACGTATTATGAGGCAATTGTTAACCTATTTTTACAAAAAAACAGCTTCTACAGGGCGTTAACATAAGATGCAATGTACTAAATGGAGCCTTTTATACATTGTCGTGTTTTTTAGAAATAAATAATGGACAAATGGAGTCTTTGGACGCCTCAGATGTAAAGTTATTCGCTGTCAAAATGAATGGGAGTCAATGGGATGCTAACAGAAGTTCTGCTACAATGGCGGCTCCAGCGAGGCTTCGACTTCCGGCTGATGGATTACCCCCTTTGTTTAGGGCGAAGGAACCAGAAGTGCCATAATGCATACTCACTTCCATGTTTTAGCCAACAAAGTGACTTCATAAGTTCGACACTCAATTTTCTCTGTAATTCTAAAAGTGACACCTTTGCTATTAGACCGGACATCAGACTTTGCAGAGACATGTCTAAACTTTTAGCAGTGATGCAGCGAAACAAAGGTCTGTTTGAATAAAATATGTGAATATACATGAATATATAAAGTATATATTATCAAAAAATATAATTTATAAATGGATTAATACAAGAATGATATGATACCATATAATAACAATGATGATAACCATACTGTAAGCATACATTTTTTCTTTTCTTACACACCAATGTTCCACCCACTGTTTTACATGTATGGTTAGCACTTTTACACATTTTTTAGGAAGTGTATCTGAAAATGTTACTTCTTTTTACACCTTTCTGGTTTCACTGTCTTTTGTTAGACGTAAGTCTATTTCAGTGCACCATCATCTGCCTCCCCCATATGAGGAAACTTCCTCTTTTCTCGGTCAGATATTTCCTCATGTGTCAGTCCAGAGTGAGCCAGAACACACACCGACTGAAGTCACACACTCATGTCAGCGTCTGAAGTTTCATCCACACTCTTCTGCTGCCGTTGGGCTCTTCTGGAAACTGGACTTTAGAGAAATGATGCTGATCTTTGGACTGATGCTGCTGCAAACTGCTGCATGTGAGTCAACTTTATGATGCTGTTCAATATTGATAATCTCTGAAATAAAAGCACTGTAATATTACATTAGGAGTGTTTCCAAAACAGCCTGCAGTGATCTAGTCTTATACCCAGTTTCACAGACAATGTTAAGTCTAAGTCCCAGACTAAAATGCTAGTTTGAGCTGTTTTAACTGAAAGCAATGCACATATGGCCTTTTTTTGTGTCAACATGAGGCTTGTTTATTAAAGCTATATACTTGTTCTTTTTTTTAACTAAATCCTAATCTTGGCGTAATCTAAACCTCGTCTGTGAACCAGGCCTTAGTGTTTTCTGGTCTGAACAGTGTGTAGTGGAGTATTATATGTCAAAAGGAAGTGTGTGAGTAACATTAACAGCACAGTCTGTGTTATTCGGCCATACCAGAAAATACAAATAGCATCCACTGATTGATTAAAACCTAAAATATTTACAGTTGCTTGAGCACAATTTTGAAAACAGGGCCTGGTTTGTAAAAACACTACACAGCATTAGCACAACCCTACACCAAAGTAGCACAACAATTTTGTCAAAACTATACATGACTTCATAAAAACAATATTTTATTACCCTACGAAAGAGACACATTTCATTTGACTTCAATCTTTTTGATTGAACTCATATGATAATTGGCTCATATGTGAGGGAATTTGACAGAAATTGCAAGGAAGTGACATCATGATATACTTCTGTGTCTGATGTATTCAAGTGTGTTTAGTGTTTTGTAAATCACTGTGTGTATTTTTTTGCAAATAGTGTGAAGCTGACAATAGTTGTCCAAATCTAGCCTTGTGTTTTCCTCCTTGAGTGCAAGCTTTTGCTAATTGTGGGAATTGTGTAATTTTAGTGTGAAAGCAATCGTTAAAAACTGTTACACTGTTTTAGTTTGAAAACTAACCTAATGTTTTATTTTAGAAAGTTTACAGTATAATCACTGTAAAAAAAATATATTCACTTAACTTACATTTTTTTAGTTAGTTTTTTTTTGCTTTGACTCAGTTCAGTTTTATTGACTCAATCTTATAAGTATTTTAACTTAAAAAGTGAAGTTGACAGTTAAAATAGTTGACCCAACAACTTATTTCAAGTAACATAGACTTGCAAAGTTTATTTCTAAGATAAGTTGCATTTTCAAGTTAACTGAACTAAAATGTATGTTCATTAAACTTAATTTTGCATTTTCTCTCAACTTGCACATTCAACAAAATAAATAACAGATTTTACATACAAACGATTTTATTGTTCTTTACAAATCAATCAAGAATTCTTGTTTTCACACCATTTCACATTTCTGCATGCTTTTCTTCATTGACATCTCTCTCTCTCTTCACTCTCTCTCTCTCCTCTCCCTGTCTAACTTCCGGTTCTTCTCTCTTTCCCTATGTTCTCAGTTTCATACAGATTCATGTCTGTGTCTTTGTTCTCAAAGCTGTAACAATAAATGTTGCTCCATTAAATGCTCTCAGAATGAATGTGTGTCATGCTGATGATAAATCCGATATGCTCGACATCTTTCTCTCTTGACGGCGACTCAGAAGTGATTCTGATTGTTTGCAAGCAATTGAATTGATAAATTGCTAATATTTTAAACTGTATTTTAGTAAATGTTCCTGATTGTGTTTAGACCTGAACGCTCATGAGCAAAGATGAAGCAACTCAAATCCTGCAGAACATCTGCCACTGAGATGAACATAAACGAATGAGTGAGTGAGTGAGTGAGTGGACAACTTCAGGTGGTGAAGACCTACATGTTCGACAGAAGACTGCACTTAAACAATTTCATGTGTTTGATTGTGGATGATTTTAGGAGCATTATATGAGAGCTGAGATTAGATCAAGAGTCTGTCAGATACAGTACGCGTCTCCCGTTGAACTATGTGAAATGTGTCTGATTGTAATTTTTGATAACAGATCTTTATTGACGTGTGTGTGTGTGTGTGTGTGTGTTGTTCTTCAGGTGTGGAGTTTACCTGCAGGTTTGGTCAGCCGGATCCCTGTTACGCTGCTCTGGGACACAAACTCAATCTGCAGATGGTGGATGATAGAATATATAAACTGAAGATAAAGAGAATAAACAACAACCAAGATGATCCATTTTGTAAAGTCAGGAATGACAATAAAAGTAAGGCCGAATGTGATCTTTATAATAACAGAACTGAAGTGACAGTCATTAATGGGACTCTGATAATAAACCGTGTGGTCGGAGCAGATTCAGGGATTTACACTTTACACATCGATCACTCAGACGGCACAGTATCATCTGCAGATCTTCAAGTGAAAGTTGAAGGTACAGTAACTCTCATCAGACTCATTACAATCTCATGATCTCCAATGATCTCACTCATTTCATCAAAACCAACTGCACTTTGTTTTCTATTTTTTATTTGTCACTTATATATCTATGTATTTACTTAAAAAACAATCCATGTGTGTTTTGAATGTGTCTGTTTGTCATGTGACTGTCACGTGTCCCGCCCTCCAGCTCCTATTGGCTCAGTGAATGTGTCACTCAACTGCTCCTCCAGTGGGGGGAAGTCCGTGTCCTGCTCTTCTGATGGGGATCTGCTCATCTACAGCTGGACTCTGAATGGAGATCCACTGACGAATGCAAACACCAACATTCATCTGAATGAGACGACTGAAGGAGTCGTCATCTGTAGTGTGAAGAACCACGTCAGTCAACAACAGAAGGACATTAGTATAGACTGTCCTGGTGAGCTTTTCATTCATAAATATCCGTGTGTTTACTAAAATACAGCAACAAGAGTGATGAAGAGTGAATCTCACAAAACCTGTCAAGAACATGTCAGTCACATTTTAGTCAGACACAGCAACACCAGTGATGCAAAACACTGAGTATCTTCAATGGTCACAGTTCATTCTTGCAACATTTCTGGCTGAAAATGAGTTTATTTCATCCGATATCAGCAGTAATTTGTGTTGACGTGTTTTCGGTTTCGCTAATTCTGCAGAGATGTTTTATTACAGGAACAACTACTGTAGCGGTGACCTCTCGTTTGACCTCTACAATGGCCAGTAGCAAACAGGCACCAGGACATGGTACAAGTTTGAAAGAACACGCTACAAGAGACATGATGAATTGGTTTTGTTTCTGTTTTCACATCATTTCACATTTCTGCATGCTTTTCTTCACTTACATCTCTCTCTCCTCTCCCTGCTTTTTTCACACATTTACTGTAAATCCACACTGTTCTTCTCTCTTTCCCTAATGTTCAGTTTCATACAGATTCATGTCTGTGTCTTTGTTCTCAAAGCTGTAACAATAAATGTTGCTCCATTAAATGCTCTCAGAATGAATGTGTGTCATGCTGATGATAAATCCGATATGCTCGACATCTTTCTCTGTTGACGGCGACTCGGAAGTGATTCTCATTGTTTGCAAGCAATTGATAAATTGCTAATATCTATGTATTTATTTAAAAAACAATCCATGTGTGTTTGAATGTGTCTGCCATGTGACTGTCACGTGTCCCGCCCTCCAGCTCCTATTGGCTCAGTGAATGTGTCACTCACCTGCTCCTCCAGTGGGGGGAAGTCCGTGTCCTGCTCTTCTGACGGGGATTCGCTCGTCTACAGCTGGACTCTGAATGGAGATCCACTGACGGATGCAAACACCAACATTCATCTGAATGAGACGACTGAAGGAGTCGTCATCTGTAGTGTGAAGAACCACGTCAGTGACGGACGTAAGGGCATTAGTCTAGACTGTTCTGGTGAGCTTTTCATTCATAAATCTCCATGTATTCACTAAACTACAGCAACAAGAGTGATGAACAAGAGACATGATGGATTGGTTTTGTTTCTAATTGTTGTTTTCAGTGTTTTCAGAGCATGTCGTGTTTGTGCTGGTCTGGTGTTTTCAGATGATGCTTCTGTTTGGTCTGTTAGGAGGTTTTCACATCTACATGAGACGCACGTCAGGTGAGAGACATTTATGATCAGCTTTGAGGATTTAACATACAAATATGAAGAGATGATGATAATGTGATGCTTTTAGAAAGAAAACAGGACGATCACAAACTGAGAATGAGCAGATTTAGAGAAGATCATGAACACACAGCAGAAGATTCACGAGTCCAGCAGCAGATCTCAGCACAGCAATGAGAAATCTCCTGCTTTTGCTTTCCGGTTTCTACGATGTTTTCAGGCGACGCCAACAATTGTGAAGGTTTCAGATGCCAAACCTGTCCAATAATATTTTAATATGATCCTTATGTTGTAAACGTTAAAAGCACAAGTTGTAATAACTGCCTAACATATACGCTGTGTCTGCTGAACTGTAAACATGAAGTTATCTAACTAACATGTACTATATAATAGCTGTATATTACTGTGACACGCTCATCTCTGGCTGAGAACAGAATATTTTTGTGACATTAAAACAAGTATTTTCTGTAAAGCTGCTTTGAAACATGTATTGTGAAAAGTGCTAGAAAAATGAACTTGAATTTAAAGTTGTTGTTCTTGATCGTGTCTTGATCGTGGCGTTTTGCTATTGTGCTTTTACACTTCTGCTTGCATTTGCAGGGTTTTTTAAAGATGTTTAACACATTTAGCCACATGCGTGTGATGAAGCAGACCTCTACTGCGGACATGTTAACGTCCGAGAAAAATAAAGGCTCAACCCATAAATAGCTACTCTTCAGACTATGGTGTGCTTATTTACAAGTGCAGCAAAAGCCCAATAAACCAGCAGTGATCGCAGGTATCGGTCTCTGGAGGAGAGTAATAGGAGTTACCAGATCAGTCAGCGGGTCATAAGAGTTGCGTAAAACAACATTTTTTTTTTTTTTAAATCATAGATATATAACTTTAACAATATTTCATATAGTACAGAGAAATAACAATATTTCATAAGTACAGAGAGGTTTTAAAGGGTTATTGGCAGAGGTATTTGTACACCATTGGGGACATATGAATAAAAATATTGATTTTAGATTATAAATTACCTAAAAAGTTGCTTATAGTCTCATAAGAATTGTAAATTGAGTCTTTATTGAAACTGATTAGCTTTTTGGTACAGAGTTAAGTAAATGAAAATAAAACTGTTTGAAATGAAACCTTTTGTTGTCAAAAGAAGCTAGCTCAATTGATTTTTTAAATATTTATATTACTTTTTTTGACAGAAAGTGCAGATTATTCCAATTTAAACATTTGGAATATTGCAATATTGGCTGTAGATCGATATTGCATGGTAAATAAATATGGTACTTGCGGTAAATCAAGAAAACGAGATTTAAACATAAACACTGTGTAAAGCTATATAGCAATAACTCGTTTTCTGTCGATGAATCCAAACATTTGCTCACCTGTCTAATAAAACACATAATATATTAAAGCATATTTTGTCTATTCATGGTTTCAACAGTATAAAACCGAAATGTTGGACGGACACGATCCGTGTTAAAATGGCTTATTTCTCTAGATTTAAACATTCTTAGACACATTTGGGATCATGTTAGTAGCCTACACAAATCAACAAAATATATAACATTGTTCTAGTGATTTCTGGATGTTCTTCGATCCAAAAGTCTTAGTTTGCCTTTTAAATAGATATCAAATAATATAATACAATTTATTTTAGTAAATGAGTCCAGCTGTAACTCTACTTTCCTCCTATAGATGTCGCTAATAACCAGGAAATTGCCTGTCTCTGACACTTGAATGTTAAACATAAACTGGCTTATTACAGTGTTTATTTTTAAGTTTATTTAAAAATTGTTTTAAAACAATTATTTAAAAAATTGCACTAAAGATCTATCATCCACTATCTGTGTGTGGAACATGAAATTGCATGTGATGTGTGGAGTAGTTAATTTGCTAAACCTCGAGTCAAACCTTCAAGAACACATGGACAAGTTTCGTCCGTTATTTTAGGGTATTTATTTATTTATTTTTGTCCCTGCGCGCCGGTCGGAGACGGAGTTCACTGCTGATATTCTGAGAGATACTCTGATATCTTACTCTGAGAGTCAGTTTAGTTATACCCTAACAGTTTTTTGAGTCCAGGAACAAATACCGTGAAATCAAAATTGAACCTATTTACTTTGTTAGCGCATATTACTAGTCTTGTGGTGAACAATTAATCCGTGCAAGTGAATATATATGAAAAAAATGTTTTACCTTAGTAATCTTTAATCAAAATCTGAAAAGTTACTTCCGGTCTGGAACGGTTTCTTTTTCTGATGACGTAGGTTTCACAGTTTGGGAGGGGAAACGCTTAACCACGCCCCACAAACCGTTAGTTTGCTATGAGCGAGAGATGGAGAGGAGGAGCGCTGGGGTGGACCAAGATGGCCGAGTAGGTAGACGCTTACTGTCGAGCTGTGCTACAGAAAATTTTGAATACGGGTAAAAACAACCTTTCTGCTTGGACCTTATAATAATTTGTAGTGCTTAACGCTAAATGAACTTTGTGAAGAGGATTTAAACTTTGAGATGTCGACCCGCGACAATAAAAGACCGTTGAAAAACTCAAAAGCAAAGTTGACAATGCCAACAGGTGATGCTAGCCACGCCGCCTCAGGAAGAAACGAATCAGTTACCTAACGTAACCTCGGTTCTCTCTAGATGAGGGACCGAGTATTGCGTAAGCTAGCTTACGCTACGGGAAAGATTCATCGTTGCTGAGAAGTTGAAGCCAAAAAATTATTCCATAATTTTGTAATTATTGTCAACGCAGTATCTCTGAGGCAGACCATGAGCGGGGCTAGCTAGCAGCTCATTGGTTCGCTCAGAGAGAATGCACGAACCTATGGGAGAGCGGCGCTGAGCCCGCGGCCAATGAGCGGACAGCGCTCACTCATTGCGTCAGAGCCCGCCGAAAGGGGCGTGGCTACAGTGTATAAAACTGGCTCTCCCAGGCTCGGTAGTTGATTTCTTTCAGCATGAAGCGAAACACTGATGGCGCAAGCACGGCCGGGAACGCAATACTCGTTCCCTCATCTAGAGAGAACCGAGGTTACGTTAGGTAACCGATTCGTTCTCTTACGAGAGGTTCTCTCGTATTGCGTAAGCTAGCTTACGCTACGGGAACATCTGGTCAACGCCGTGCGCGCTATGTAACCACTAAGCATCCCAGGGGGAAAACACCGGGGGAATCTTAAGCCTAGTTCACACTACATGATTTTAAAATGTCGGGCTGAACTGTGCAGTTCACATTACATGACTTGCTCTCAGTGAAATCATGAGTGTTCAAGTTGTTTAGCTGTTCACACCACACAACACAACGTGATTGATCCACAACAGGAGGTAACTCACTACACGAGTTAACAACGCACTGCATAGAGATACAACCACGATAGGATGATAAGAGCATATCATTTGTGACTCAATGAGAGCTGTTTCAGTACTATAGTACGGTCTAAATCCTGAAAATAATCAAACAAATAACGAGTTGACAACAACACGATTCTATCTGGTCTAGAAACCATGTTTTGTAACGAAAAACCACGCAATAAAACGAACCAGAAATGACGCGAAACTACAGAGAAGAACATAACACGCGAATATGGACGTCAGACAGAAACTAGTGCTGCACACTGTTTGCTCGACGATCTGCTCTGAGAAAAAAAATGCAAAAAAGAAAAAGTAAGACTTACCTGGTGTCCTCAACCCATGCGTTGCTATGATTGGCTGTACTCATGACATCACTGAGATTGAGTCGCGCGACTGCTCGAGATATCTAGCAGGCTAGATATTTTTCTGAGCTCGGTGACCTGTCTGCGAGGTGTCTGCGAGCTGTCTTTGATGCGTTGTTGGCTCTTTTACACTAACGGATTGGCGAGCGTTAATCGTCCGCTAATCGCCCGCGATTTGCACGCGATAACACCCTGACTTGTCGGCGACTCAACGATTTGCAAATCGGGCTTAAATCGGGCTTAAAATCACGTAGTGTGAACTAGGCTTTAAGCAATAAGGCGGCCAGCATAGCGGCCGTTATCATCTAATGCAAAACGCCCTTAAGGCGGCCGGCATAGCGGGCCGTGAACGTATACGCATAAGCACATAGGGGGAAGCACAAGGGGCGAACCGGTTGTGATAGGACTCCCAATAGTGCAGCTTCTTATAGGAGAGCTGTATAGTGCTAGACCGCCAGTAATTTAGCCTGTAAGGCGGGAACTTCCAAGTTATAGAATCTGATAAAAGTGGAGGGGGAAGCCCGTCCCGCAGCCACACAAATGTCGTGAATGGAAATTCCGCAGGACCATGCCCACGATGAGGCCATGCCTCTGGTGGAATGAGCCCTGACGCCCAGCGGGCAAGGCAGGTCTTTTGAGGCGTAAGCAGAAGCAATAGCATCCACTATCCACCTAGACAGTGTCTGTTTAGAGGCGGCTAGACCCTTGGTGCGGCCGCCGAACGACACAAACAGCTGCTCCGAGCGTCTGAACGCAGCAGCGCGTGTAGTGTACACTCTCAGAGCCCGGACCGGGCAGAGGCGATCAGTGTCACGTTCACTATCAGATGCAGGCAGCGCCGATAGAGAGATCACTTGCGCCCTGAAGGGGGTACCAATCGCTTTTGGAACATAACCGTGTCTAGGTTTCAGAATGACAATGGAGTCATTAGGTCCAAACTCAAGGCACGCGGCGCTAGAAGACAGCGCGTAAATGTCCCCCACGCGTTTTACTGAGGCGAGGGCAGTCAGAAAAACGTTTTTTAGCGAGAGGTATTTTAGCTCCACGGACTCGAGTGGTTTAAACGGTGGGGC